CTCTTGATAATATACAAGAATAACAGTATGAATACAAATATGAGTAGGTATTTATTAATTTTTGTGTTTCGGTCGAAATTACATGGACACGATCCTTTACGCATATTTAAAATTAAAATAAGTAAAATGACATTCTTATTCATATCGAATCAATTATTTGATTGTTATTTCTTGTACCGGAATAATAAAGAAAAATATATATATATATATATTGTTTTTACTGTCAACGAAACGGGTAGAAAGCATTTCGTTTCAAAAAAAAAACACAGTTATACAAACGTTTTACGATAACGAATTTCTTTTGTCTTCGTAACGATATTACGTATAAATCAAACGATCAAGAATTATGAATTTGATAAACGACTTATCAAAATATCGAAATACTGTCCATTTCTGGGCAAATACTGGATAGTGTCGAGTTTGAACGATTATCGGGTATTTTTTAATTTCATTTTCAGTTTCTCCACCATATTTATATAAAAAAAAATTAAAACAAACTGAAAAATGTCGTTTCCTGCGTTTTTTTTTAATGACAACTGTCGTCACTCGGGGAGGGGTGAGGTAGAGAATTAGATAATTTATATTCGTTATCATTTTGTTTAACCGCGATATTAGCTTACGAATTGATTTATCGTGTACGATAATAAATATTTCATTGGCAATAATTTAAACTTTTAAGTTCGCAGCTCATTAAACGGCCTATTAAAAACGATATAATAAGTTTACTTGAACGAACGGTGTGAATGGACGAAAGATATACACAAACTATTATACAGGGTGAATCTATATTATCAAATACCATTATCTACGAGGATTTCGCGAACAACGTTTTTTTATTCGTTTGGCAACTAATATTCTCTTTTCGAATCGCGGCCTAAGAATTGTGGGTGTTATATAAATTCGAAAATTACTATAGGTATATTCTTGTTTGTATATTTGTGATGTTTCGAATAAGAATTGCAATTTCGGAAATATTATAAACAAGACCAACAGATAATAATTATTATAAATGTCCGAAAATTAAAAATTTCTTTTCAAAATTTTCGTGTACAAGTACAGTTAATCGCAGATCCACAATAAAATAAAAACCATCCTGTGTATTCCTATACCGTAGGTTTAGGAATACGCAAAGCATAAAAGGCAATGGCGTCAAGAATAATAAAATAATGAAAAAAAATAGGCCACCTTAAAAATCACCGGATTACCGTGATAAGTCAGTAGAAAGTTTTTTTTTTTCATTTCTGTTGAAACTTTGTTGTCAACCTCCAACACTATGTAGGTGTTCAACGTGCTTCGTGTCTGTATTTTATACATTTAAACTAAATATATATATAGTTATGGTATATATATATATATATATATAGGGTAACGAGGTGAAGTGTTTCGTTTGAATGCCTACGTGAAAATGTACTGTAAAAAAAAAAAAAAAAATGGCAAGTATACTGCCAGACGATTTTATTTCGATCTGGATTACGAATACGTCTTATAATTTTTACTTTGTTGTCACAGAGTACGCGGAAAAACGTCGCGAAAATAATTTATATTCATTTCTCGAGTATAGCAGATAGAAAGACGTTAGGAAATTTTAAAATTATAATTTATATTTTATACTTGAATAAACAATCACAAATAATCCATCAGAATAGATGAAAAGAGACCTTTTGGAATATCCCATTTGAGATAACCGCAGAAAAGGTGGCGAAGAGGGACGTGTAGAAATCTGTAAATGTAGGCTCAGACTGGAAATTATAAGAATAGTTGACAAAAGGAATCGGAAGATTGCGATGGTCCCTAAAGAGATCGATAATCCTAAATCCCATATTTTCGTACCTGGTCAACAGCAAATTTAAAAAATTATAATTTGATCAGTTATTATATTTGTTCCAAGATTAACTGAGCCGACGTTAACAAATTAAACATTTCAAAATCCATCAATTTATGTGGATCACATCGGTATGATATGAAAATATTGCGTACTTGAATTAGTAGATGATTTTCTGTTATCATTGTTATGATTTAAATGCATGTTAATCTGTATTTTTTTTTTTTGTCTTTATGGTAGGTAATAAAATAAGTTGAATATTGCTTTACTCAAATATTTACTTTTAAATACCTAACTATACACACCTAAAAACTAAAACAATTAAAACGACTTTTTAAATTATAAAAGTAGGTAAAAATCAAATGAAATATAACACATGTAGTATTCATATGTTGTTACATATGAATCGTTAAATTCAGAAAGGACATTTTTTTAAAAATTTTTATGAACGATATTATGAATATACTTAATATTTCTAAGAAACTTAAGAAACTAAGAAACAAATTTAATTTTAACAAATAATGTAATCGATACATTTTAAATATTATTTATAAGTATGAGATTTTTGTTTGTATTTCTTGAATGTTTGAACATAATATAGCGTATAATATATAATATATTCGTATAATTTGATAACAACGAACCTAAATATTATCAAATTAAAGTCTTCGACAGATCAATTTCTCTAATTTATTAGCCTGTTAAAAGCCCAGATAAAATTTTATCCAATTAATAACTAAACAGTATACATATCTGGGTTAAGAATTAACATTAACTGATGCTTACATTTTCCTAAAACTGGTAGTATTAGAAATAATCATGGTAATATACATTAATTGTTAATGTTTTATGTTAAAAAGTAATAATATTTAACTAATTGAACAAACGTTTTTCCGTAATGTTTTCATTAAACGGCCATTATCGAATAACAATAATTTTTATTTATAGCATAACTCAATTTGTTAAAATTAATTTGTCACCGGGTAACTACTTTGAATTTCTCGATCGATAAAGCTCGTCGAAGTCCAAGTCAGACGCTCTTCAAACCGGCACCAATATATGTTACGGCGATGCAGCGAATGCGGTTAACAATATAATATGAATAAATCTGAACATAACGTATAATAATATATAGAACTACGCACTTGTTCTATAAAAAAAAAAAAAAAAAACTTCAGTACGTTCAGTTGAGTTTACCGAAATATAAATCGTAATAATTTGAAAGGCTCGGAGTCTGCAGCGGTGTTAAAGGTGCAGTATGCCTAACGAGAAATATATATATGTATGTATGTATATGCGCATTATTCATGAGTCGTTGGCGTTTCTTCGCCGGGCAGGGGGTCTGGAACGATATGTATTAAAAGTGCGATAATACACATGCGAAAACACCGGGACAAAAAAAAAAAAAAAAAAAAAAAAAAAGTAATAATAATTCCCAACAAAGGATGATATTTTATTTTCAGTTTTCACCTAGCCGAACTCGTCTACTACTCATATATACTACATTATATAAATATATAAGTCCATATATATATATATATATTTATTACGATATGGAAATAATATACTCTTTTTCCCCTCAACTCCGTCCGCCGTCCTTTTGTAACTGAAAACAATGCGGAGCTAAAACGTCGCTATAGCGCACGTTATCTCGGCATCAGTTGCCTACCTACTCTGCAAATACGGGCATTTTTCATCCACGGCCCGGTGTAATTCGTCGTTAGTAACCCGAACATGTGCGCCATGTCCTTGATGTGTGCGTTGCGGTGCGGCGAAATTCAAAAAAAAAAAAAAAAAAAATCTTAGTTTCTTTTTCGGGACAATCGCTATGATATTATTATATTATATTATATTATATTATATTAAATTATAGCGTAACGTGCCCAAATCCGACGACCGACGACGGAGGTATATATACGTGCACGCGTTGTGAAATCGCTGATGCTATTGCTTATAATATTATATGAAATTTAATAACGGTCAAAGGGACCCCATCCCGTATAAACGAAATTAAATCTGTGTTTTATACCGTTTGGTCAGTTCTAATAATAAGCATATGTGTAAGCGTAACGCGAGAATGTGCTGAATTTAAAAAAAATTAATTTGTATAATTCCGAAATATATTATTAATTTAAAAAAAAAAAAAAAAAAATAACAATAAACCCCAGACGTACTCCACGATACGGCCTCAGAGCCACTGTTGTAGTTGGGAAATCGGGGGAGAGTATAAAGGATGCAGAGTATAATTTAGTTTATATTCTGAAAGCAACTATAAATTATTGCAATCCGAAAATGATGGTTCTGATTGGAATTATTCCTGATTTTATTTTTACCACTGTAGCCAAGGTAACCCGGAAATTGGCAAAACAAAAACCAATGTATTTTCATGAATTGTAAATATTTTTATTGAAACTACTAGGTTTTTTCCAAGAAAAAAAAATATTTTAAGTAAAAAAAAATGAACTAAAACTGTTTAAAAGTGTGCCACTTTGGTGTAAGCAATTATAAACCATTTCTAATAATAAAAAAAAAAAATGATTAAAAAGTATTACAAGTTGTATTTTTTTCCTTGTAGCCAAAGTAAATATAAATCAACAAAAATTTCAAAAAAACAATTTCTAGTGTTTCTATTTACTACAAAAACTACATAAAAAATTAAAAAAGAACCTCCTTTATACATTAAAAACATATAAAATTCCACAAAAACATTCTTATAAACTTTTTGATTGGAACAAGATTTCTGGTAGAAAAGTTGTTTATAGGCACAAAAAAAAAAACAACACGCCCATCATTGTGAGACTAACAAATATTTGTATTTCTTTATAAAACTATAGTTAATTAAATTAAATTAATTTTATTATAGCCATTAGGTATATAATGTTATAAAAACATCAACTAAATTAAACAAACTAGTTAATAGAAAAATATTAGAATAATAATTTTCATATTGCTATAATTTATTATGCAGTTAAGTACTTATTATTTACAAAGTATACGACATAAAAATTAAACATACCACTACAGAAAATATAGTTATAAATTCTACAGTCCTGCAAAGCAAAAGTGCAGCTGTAAATCATTTACCTAAATTAGATAATGTGTAATTTTACGTTACAGCGCATACTTCCGAGAACATTTTTTACGTCTTTAAATTTAATAAATCTTTAGAAATTCGTCTTGCACGATGGTCGCCTTTTTGTGCGTTAGCAGGACAGTGAAGATGGCGTTTTGTAATTCAATTATAAAACACGCGGTTTCTTTACGACCGTTTATTTACAACCATATTTTACTAACGCACGTGAGAATTCATAAAATAACTTTTCTTAGATGTTGATGTACCTATAATACCATACGAATTTCTTTGTCCATTAGCGCGTTTGCGACTGGCTTAACTCGAAAAATAAAATCGGTATTATCGAATACCGATTGTAGAATTTACAATCAGAAAACAAGTTAAATATCACCTCCCAAAAGTAGACATTCAAAATTTGTAACGTTATGATAGAATTTCGGCTCGAGAATTTTCACCAAAATTGCTCGAATATTTATAATATTTATATTATTTATACGTTAATCGGTTTGTTTGAAGACGCCGTGTCGCTGAGAATAAAATATACTTCGCGGATACAGTATTATGTGGCGGACGATTGAAGATTAATGGACTTGAGTGTTTCATGGAATTTATATAAAGCGTTTGCATAAACGTTGGAGCCGTAATGTTGTTAGATTGCCGATGCACCGCAATGAGATACTTAAACTCGGGAATTTATAGACAGCAGATGCGGGTAACAAGGAACAAAATAATCGAGGCAAAAACCACGGAATTTTAAAAATTACTAAATATCCAAGTACTCTTGCCTAATAATGTATTCGAATATTGAATAAAAATAGTGATTAATGTAAATCATGTATAATTAGAAAAACAATAACTAATCTAATTTTATTATGTGCCATATCATGATCGAATTAACAAAAAAACTTTTACTTTTTATTGATTGACTTATGTAGGTATTAGTATCTACATTACATTGATTAATTGATAAATTAAATGGATTTAGGCACATAGGCGTAGGATGCGGGGAGGCTAAGCTGGCTAGACTGCAAATGTTCTGTACATTTTTATAAAAAAAAAGGGTAAATAGAAAACCTTTAACTGTATGTTTTTTTTCAGGGAAGCTTTAAGAAATGTTGAGGGAATTAGAGTATATTTCAGGAGTTATAGCCTTCTTAGCTATCCCGCATCCTACGCTTATGTTTAAACATATTATTAACGCTGAATTTTAAAAGGAAATAATATTTACTCATGAAAATCCGCGGAGAATTGATGTACTTTAACGTGATGATAAACTATTATCATATTGCTGGTGATTTTTTATGATAATTTCTCCTTTTTTTTTTCCATCGAAATATTGAAAAATTGATATTAATTGTGCGACCGTAACGGGTAGGTGTCTTTTTTTTTTCTTTATCTCCGTCATATAAGAGATATTGGTTTCGAGTAAAAGTAAACGAAGACATGTTACGATATTTTCTCTAAATTGAATATTGATTATGCCGCTGTATAACATATACATACATATATATATATTATTATAATGACTCGACGATGTACGTGCAAAAACTTTTACCTATATTACATTTTTATTTTTTTACAGAATGTAAAATGTATTGGTGTTATCTTAATACAAAATTACAAGATTAGACAAATGCCATTGTATGTATAGCTTCGTATTAAATTAATTATTATTTATTATTGTGTCGTTAAAAACATCTAACACTATTATTATAATTGTATATTAAAACACGTTTAATTGAATTAAATGGAAAAAAAAATCGATTCATATAATACATTGTATGTAAAATGAAAAAGTTCAAGTGATTTCATGATAATTATTATATTAGTGATGTTGTATGATAATAATTAAAGATTACTTGGTATACAGAATAATCTTTGTCATCGTGGACCAGGGATTTTCTCAACGAATTTTTTAGTAAATAAGATATTAATATTTTTTAATATTCATTTATTACGTAATCGTTTACTTTTATTTTAATACAATTTTTTACTCCTAATCGTTAAACCGTTTTTTAACTGTATGAACATTTGATTTACAAATAAAACGCACCTATCAAAACAGATTATAAAAAAAAAATAATTTTCTTTAAATGTTGAAATACATTAGGTACACTTAATATCGAACATTAACTATTAAATTAGTTTAAAATTTAGATCGGCGCAGTATATGAGGAAGCATGATAAATTTCATATCCAACCTTTCTATTCGCTAATTCTCTGGTCTGAATTTTTAAATAAAAAATAGTAAATATCGGTTTTATGCATAGTAACATTTTTAGAATCGAATGATTTTTTTCGTATCTGGTTTGAAAAAAAGAGGGGAGGGGAAGTTGAAAATTTTGACACGTATTTAAGTGTTTTGGTGCACAATAAAATAAATAATAAGGTAAACGACTGAAAATAATAAATACCGAAATCAAGTTTATTCGAAATCTACGTAAACAATCGACGGATCATCTAAAAAAAAAAAAATCACCCCGAATATTCGAATATACTCGTACATTGATATTGTGATAAAACGGATCAAACATTTAAAACTAGTTATTATTTTTTTTTATATAATATATTAGCCGTATATGGAATATACGACCGTTAGTATAATGATATAACTGCGAATAAGCTTCCGTGTTCGATCAATTTTAAATTAAAAAAATTATAAACCTATATATTATTTTCTCCTTCCTAAAAAAACGTATAGGTAAAAAAAAAAACCCCATTTAGACGTCTTGTGATTTCTCAGCAGCTTGAGTGTGCGACAAAGCTCTCGTGTATTTGCATTTTACATACAAGAGTACAAAAGTATCTGATATGCATATAATATATATTTTAATATTATAAAAAGATTTATGCGCACGCGTATAGAATGAGAGTGAAATAATATCCGAATCGCTTAGGTATACTTAAACTTTATCGTTAAACTACCGCGGTGAGTATTCATAATATACATATCGATGATAGACCGCGGTTTGTTTCGTTTTGATTTTTTCAGATCAGTGAGATAAAAACGTGCGTTTCGCTTGTAGAATAAAATCACGAGTAAAAAACAGAGTATTTTTTTTTATCACGATCCGACGATTCCAAAGAAGTTTTCGTATAATATAAGTTCGGTTTTTTTTTACAGTCGTAATTATATTAGATTTTTTAAGATCAGAAACTTTTTATCTAGATAATTTTGTTCATAACCTTTAAGACTACTGAGTGGTAAAAGTAGTATTAGTGAACCAGACTTGGTACTCATCTAAATTCTAAAAACGTCACGAGGTGAATATAACTTAATAATTTATTTATTTAAACGGTTCATATTATTATAAATTAGATATTTCAACTGTTTAATTATTTCTAATATATATACAAATTGTGAGTTCTAGACAAATGCATCTAGGTGATTCAATTGCTTATCTCAGATAACTTATTTCTCATATATCTAGATAAGATAAAAAACGCCTTATAAGATAATTTATTTGATTTTAATACGAACTGTTACACTGCTTGTTTAGGGCAGTGGTGGTGTGAAATTTGTTTTTCTATGAAAAAGTGTCAACCAATTAGCTAAAGATCGTGTACAAGTCTAAAAGTACCAAGAGCTTTAACTATACGACAACTATGTAGACGTTACTGTACTTTTACCGTTTCCGTTGAGATATTTAATGATATAAAGTGCTACTTATACACTCACACAATCGTCGATGAAATAAGTGTTTTTTAGGATACTCATTCCGTTATCACTGCAGTTAAAGGTATGATGATCAGGGACGAAAATGTTAAAAGTGTTAAAATAAAGCTTATTTGATTACACAACGATTACAAAAAAAAAACAGAAGTCAAATTCACTTAAAACCGAGTATAATAATATTTTCATAATCGTTTTTATACGATCAGCTTGAGATAACCCTCCTCTAATTCTGTGGTCTAAACTTTAAACTGTTATAAGTTACACAAACTTATGGTAAACTCAAACGGTAAATCCGATTTTAGTGTTATACGTATCAAAATGTTCTCAAACATATATTCTCTATTCGAATCTGTCTTCGAAAAAGAGGGGAGAGGTTACTGTTTAAAAATCTAAAGTATATACTCATTGAAGATTGTTACATAATAGTTAAAAAAAAAAAACTAATATTTATTTATTAAAACCATCCGAGAAAATCGCTGCTTCGCGATAAATGGATCGCTCTATATATATATTGTATCGTTAAATTATTATCGCGGTAAAAATTCGCGGTGTTGTGAATCGATAGAACGAGGTTTGTTTCGTTTTGATTTTTTTTTTTTTTTTGGATCAGTGTGATCAAAATGCGTGCGTATTATTATACCTATACACTGTTAGTGTAGAATAAAATTACTAGTGCATAATGGCGGCCGACTGTTTGTATACGTGTTATAATAATAATAATATGTTCGAATCCCGTCCGGGTTTAAAACGAATTTCAATTGCTTCACAGAAAAAAAAATCCCATTATTTCTAAATTTATGGTGTGTGCGTTCAAAGTCCGGAATTGTACTGCGATTCCCGCGGAGTGTTCAGTTGTTTGCAAATTGTACACACGTTCCCAATCTGCAGACTGTCGTAGCCGGGTACCCTCAGTGCGAATCACGCGCGTCGTACAAAAGCAACAAAAACGGACAAAAATCGCAAAGAAAAATGTTACATATTTTAATAATTTACGTATTTAATATTACGAGTATATACGGCATTTTGTTCAATTTACAATTAAAAAAAAAAATGAAAAAATAATATAATTTGAATTATAAATTCGTATTTTGTGCACGATGAATATTGCTGATTTTTTTTTACTATTTTGTTTACAAAAATTCAAAAACCTTTAACAACAATGCAAAATAAAAAAAAGAAATTTGGTAATTATATACCGGTAAATTAGAAAGGTATAATACGGTAGAGTACTAAACCTCCATTCTCATAAACCATTGCAAAAAAAAAAAAAAAAACTACGATTCTGATCAGAGTAAATTCTTCGGCGAATTCAAAATTATTTATATTTAATTTTTCACCGAATTTTAATTTAAAACGTTAAAAAAATTACGAAATTTCGTTCGGTAATAATAAAATAAAACAAAAACTTTTATTAATATTGTGGGCATTTAAACGATAACAACACAACACAAACAGGTACAAAAAATCAAACAGAATCCTTATCATTTAAAATTAATCTTTATTTAAATAACTAAAAACCAAAAAAAATTCCAGTAATTTTTATTTTTCTGTACTTTGTCCCTTATGTGGTCCTTTGTTATTTGCAATACATGTTTATAAATCGTTTCGTACAATAAATTTCGAGTACCCAATTTCGATTAAAACTTAAACCTAAAGTCATCTATTTATGTTCACTAATCATAACAGGAATAGACGCTTTTAAAGGCATAGGCTGTAATTGAATGACCAATTATTTTTTCGAAACGTGTGAATATTTTACTGCTTATTGGCGTATTATTTATGATTCAAACAAATAAGCGAGCGAATACTCGAAACTGAAACAACTTTAACTACGAAGAGAAGTTTGAAAAACACCGCAGGATTGCACGGCCGTCGTTCGTTTGGGCGGATTACCTGACATTTACCTGAGTGGAGTATATAATCATTTGAATGAAAAATAAATCGATCATGTGGACGAATTTATATTTTGTCTCATTGAATATATCATATCTTGAGCTTCCGATTTAGATTAGTTGTAAATAAATATATAAAAGTATACAACTTTTTTAATATTTAATTTATATTATTATACCGTTTCGACCGATAACATATCCATGTTAG